ATGCATTCAATCGAATCAACCAGGACTTGTATAAGAAATTTAATACAGTACAATGGTTACCATTATTATTTAATTGCTTATTCTTTATTCAAGACCCGGAGGAACTTTCAATCCGAAACAATTCGTCTTTCTGTATTACGAGATTTATTAGTCGTGTTGTTGAGAATCATGAAGTTATTAAGACTCAGACAGATTACCAAAACCTTTTAATTAAAGTAATATTCCCAGCAATAAAGAGAGGAATGAAAAAGTCTATTGAATTAGTACGAACTGAATTCCTTACGATTTTATCATGTGCGATAAAAAAATGTCCGTCAATACCTCAATTTTCTGATATGGCCTGCTTATTATTTGACGATGATGAGGCCAATTTTTTCGATAACGTTCATCACATTCAAATTCACCGTCGTGTTCGTGCACTCAAAAGATTTTCCAATGAGTGTGCAAATGGAAAAATAAAGATTAATAATTTAGTACAGATCTTTATACCGCTCATTGGTCATTTTATTTTTGAAGCGGATAGAGTAGTTGAACATTTACTAATTAATGAGACTATATTAACAATTGGGATTATTGCGGGTCAACTTCCATGGGGACAATACAATACTCTTTTAAAACATTATATGAAATTGATTCCTAAGAAACCGACTTTAGAAAAAGTATTGGTTCGAACTATCATCGCCATACTGGACAATTTTCATTTTGATGTATCTGAAGCCCAGGTTTCTGAAGCTCAACTTAAAGGTTCAAAAGAATCCATCTTTAAACAAACAAAAATAATAAAACGTGATTCTATTAATGAAGATTCCGATAGACACTTAATTGCTGATGATGATGCGGATGAAGACATTAATGCATCAGTAGTAGAATTTGAAGGTCCACAATTATCTTACAGTGAAGATACGGTAGATGAAGTAAAGTCAAGATCTTTAGCTGATCGTATTCATAATTATATTGTTAATGATTTACTTCCCGAACTTAAGAAATATTTAACTCAACATGATAATGAAAACATCACCATTCGTGTTCCCGTGGCGTTAGCAATTACTAAGCTTTTAAGGGCTTTACCCGAAATATCACTTCGTGTTAATTTACCTGGATTGCTTACTACTGTGTGCCAAATCTTAAGGAGTCGTCAGCAAGATGCTCGCGACACCACCAGGAATACTCTTAGCAAAATTTCAACTTTTCTCGGACCTTTATATTTTTCATTTATAGTAAAGGAGTTACAAGGTGCATTGACACGTGGATATCAGTTACATGTTCTTGGGTATACATTACATTCTCTTCTAGTCAACTTGTCACCAAATCTACAAGTCGGTGCTCTTGATTATTGTCTTCAGCCTATAACTGACATTATTATAAATGATATATTTGGTGAGGTTGGTAAAGAGAAAGATGCAGAGGAGATTACTGGAAAAATAAAGGAAATGAAATCCACTAAAAGTTTCGGGACGTTTGAACTTCTTGCCAAAGTTATTGAATTCAAGAATATCGGAATTTTGCTGATACCACTGAAAGAGATTATGCGTGAAACGCAAAATTCAAGAGTTTTAAGTAAGATTGACGAAATATTACGAAAAATATCTATTGGATTGAATTCAAATCCACAGTTCGATACCAAAGAAATGGTAACTTTTTGTCAAGGGCTTATTTCACAAAATCTTGATATATTAAAAGCAAGAAAAAGGGTTCATTATAAAAAAAGTAACATGGAAACAAACTTTACGGTTCAACTTAAACGTAACGTTTCGGAACCAGTAGATTATTATAATGTCAACTCTTATAGATTTGTGGAGTTTGGATTAACAATATTTCTAGCGGCCTTAAAACGTGATAAATTTGATACGAAATCCGAGGAACAGCTAGAATTATTAGTACCATTTGTGGATACGATTGGAAATGCATTATATTCAAAGCATCCGAACGTCAATACACTCGCGTTAAAGGTCATGTGCATATTTTGTAATCTTAAGATAAAATCCTTGGATGATGCTTTACCAGCAATTGTAAAGCAAATTTTTACGTTAATAAGAACTTCAAGTACTACCAATTCGGAATTGGTTCAAGCATGTTTCAAATTACTTACAGTTATAATACGCGATCGTAAGAAGTTTGAATTTAAGGAAAGTGAATTAACTTTTATCATTAATCTTATCCGTCCTGATCTTGAAGAACCTCAACGTCAAGGAACATCGTTCTCGTTGATACGTGCTATTGTATCACGTAAATTCGTGGTCCCTGAAATATACGATATGATGCAAATAATTACTGAAATAATGATCACGAGTCAGGCAACTCCAACGCGTGATTTATCGAGACAACTATTAATTCAATTTTTATTGGACTATCCTCAAGGGCGTGGTCGATTGAAGAACCATTTAAACTTATTGATCAAAAATTTGAATTATGTATTCGAAAGCGGACGACAATCAGTAATGGAAATGTTGAATTTAATATTTATTAAATTTAATGAAGAAGTTTTAATGGAATATGCAGAAATATTATTCTTATCTTTAGCTATGTCATTAGTGAACGATGATTCAAATAAATGTCGAGAAATGGCTGGGGTATTAATCAAAATTCTTTTAAATAGAATGGATGAAATGAGACTTAGAAACATATATGTTTTACTGGAAAAATGGTTTGGTCAGAATGATAAAAGAAATTTACAGAGGATGGCTGTACAAGTTTATGGACTTGTAATTGAAGCTTTTGGTGACAAATTCAAAAAACATATATTTGAATTATTAGATATCTTAGAAAAAGCTTTGAATATATGTCGACAAGTTTTAGAACAATTGGAAGAAATTGCTAAAGAAGATGATTCTATAACGATAGATAGTGCCGATTGGGAGCTTGGATATTATGCTCTTAACACTTTTACAAAACTAGTAAAGACATTTCCCTCAGTTATTTACTCTAACAAATCAAAAAATATTTGGGAATTAATTGAAAATAATTTACTTTTCCCTCACAGTTGGGTAAGACTTTCAACGTGTAGATTATTTGGATTATATTTTTCAAATATTAATCCCGAGACTAAGATTATTAGTGTAACTGATGAACGTAATGATAATTTAACAAAAATGACGTTGAGAACATTAGCGAACAAGTTCTGTATTCAATTGAGAAGTGAGTACTTGGGATCAGAACTTGCAACACAAATTGTAAAGAATTTGTTTTTTATTGGAAAAAGTCTCTATTGTTTAAATACTGATGAGGAAAAAAATACATTTGTTGATGAAAATGAACATTTTGGAGATAAAGATGCTGAAAACGATGATGATGATCAGGATCAAGATGAATATCAGGAAACGAATGACGATAACAAAGACGCAGAATCCGAGAATATTACTGCCCAACCAAATGAAACTATAATCAAAGCGAAACCATCATTATTTTGGTTGTTTAAAAAATTGTCATATCAAGCAAGATTAGCTCCAATCAAGAAAGACGGTAATGATTTACAGGTATGTTAATTGAGGTTGATAAATGATCCTGCTTCCGTTTTAGATTCTTGAACTTGTTTTTCCATAACGATCTTTATCCATAAACAGCGCACAAGTATATATCAATGGATGGCAGCAATGACAACATTTATGCCGCCATCGGACTTGACACCTTACCTAATGCTTATAATTGGCCCTATTTATCGATTTGTTAACGATGAAACTATTAAAGGAAATGAGATCGGTAAGTAATTTTTGTTTTTGCATGATTCCTTAAATTTAACGCGTCTTTAATCGGGGTGATTGATATATTATGCATTAGATAACCTTAAACAATTTGGTAAAGAGATACTTGATTTGATACAGAAACGCGTCGGTACAACACAATTCCACATTACATACAATAAGATTAAACAACAAGTTTCGAAAGTTAGAAGAGATCGTAAACATAAAAAAGCAATCATGGTAAGATATATTGATACTTCTTGTTAATTAAATTATATATATTAAATTTGGTATAAATCTAAAATCTTATTTTACCCTTAATTACAGGCTCTTGTGGATCCTGAATCTGCAGCCAAACGTAAACTTCAAAGGAACGAAATGAAAAGACAAAGTCGTAAAAGAAAGAGTGCAGAATTTGCTATTCAAAAATTGAGATACGGTGTTACAAAGAAACGACGCATTTTAGATAATAGCCCATAGATATAGATTATCACCATATATTCCAAATTCTTTTGCTTTAAATCTGTCCCTAGATATAATATAATTGGTTTAAATTTCGCACCACACTTTTTATAGAAAATATTTTTATTTTTTATTTTTTAATAAAACATTATGGATTTTAAGTTTATAATTAACATTTTATTTATAACAAACGGCTTGATCTTGTTATGTTATTTTGAATAATTGAAGTTTACTTTACTTTAGCAAAGAAAAAAATACGTACCAATAATTTTATAAAAATTGATTACTGAATAACAAAATGCCTTTCGTGCTTCCTATAAAGCTATTAGTCATCGTTCAATTAATGGCTGGCAGCATACGTCACTAGAAATATTGATACAATAAAAGGAGTATTCTGTCATATGGGAGTGTTTCCAGTAAAATCACATTACGGATCATATGATTTACTACTAGCCTTTTTTGGACTGTACAAAATAAAGAGAAGGGTTTAACTATTATTTATTGGTTATGGTGGATAAAATATCGTGTCACCCCTTCGGGGTGACCGATATTTTACCAATAACTATTATATATAGTTGCAGACTCGGTGAATTGATATATCAAGACTACGTCATCACCTTAACTCCTTAATGAACAAATTGAAGAAAAAAATTTAAAAAATACTATCTACTAACAACAGAAAAAAAGAAACTACAAGATAAAAGAAGAGGAAAGGAAGCGTAATTCCAATAGCCGAAGCGTACGACAAAGCGTAATCAGAATAGCCGAAGCGTACGACATTCCTTTCCATAAAAATTAATATCAATCAAACATAACTAATGTGATAAGAAAAGTTAAACTCACGACTTCTCTGTTGTAAGGTCAGACTCTACGGAAAAGATCTTGAAGTCTTGCTATTTCGTTCAAAATCTCCTCTTCCCTATTGACTGATGGAATGGTTTGCAAGCGTTCGACTTCTTGCTAAAGATTTTGAAAGAGTGCTGAAGATAGTTGTACTGGAACTGAAGGTCTTCAAACTCCTCGTCCCTATTGTCCAAACGAGAAGAAAGAATAGTTAGCTCGTTATTTAATTTATCTATCTCAGTGAGCTTCTGCATCACTTCACGATGTAGATGATGGTTATCTATTTTCATAGTATTAATATATTCATGGTGTTCTTCAGAGTTAGCAGCGTTGCGAGTGATAAAAATGGAGTTTTTATACTTTTATACTTTTGAAAAACACATCATTTTTGTGTTACTTTAATTAGAGTTAATACAAACGTTTTAAAGAACATTTCGATAATAAGTTTTAAATAATTAACGTGTCCCTTATGCGCAAATAATATAAATACGCGAGAAGGTTTTTATTTTTTTTAAAAAAAAATCCTTCATATGTATTTCATATTATTTCGCGTGATATTCTTAACCGTTCAAGTTCACCAGTTCCCCCGGAAACTTCATATAAAGGTTACCGGTAAAATGGAAGCATAATGGACATTCGTTATATCACGAGGTGATAAAATCAAATGTCGATCTTTTTTATATTGTGTAACATTCGAT